GTGTTAAAATATATTTTAAAAAATTTACAAAACTAAACAGCCTACAGTATTTTTACAGTCTTTATTTTACAGTTAAAATAAATGTTTATCAAATAAAGTTTAATGTTACAACTATTAGTGGATCCCTTTAAAGTATTCAATGCTTAGTTTATTGTTGAGCAGGTAAAGGAAAAATATCTTTTGCCCTCAAGTTCTTCTGACTTTATGATTTTGGCCCATGTGACAAAATGTTTGGACACCCCTGATTTAAGTAATGAAGGCCAGTGATGAACAGTTGGTCACTACTGAATTGCGACGGGGGACATCAGTGACGATGAGCGACTGTCTTGTTTTTAATCACAAATAGCACTTTCTGTACATCCTGGATTATGTCCTGTAGGAATTGTCTTACATTTAGTCTAAAAATGGTGTTATGTGAAATTGGTGTTGGTGTAAAGGTTAAAATAATATTGTTTGACTGATAGTTTATGAAATTTGTCTTTTGGAATGAGGTTTGCGCAGACATTATTAGCACCATGACTTTGTATAGTTTACATTCTCCACAGTGAATACTAATAAATGCTATAATCTCCGATGCTTTGATTGGCAGGATCTGATTCCACCCCAGTCACGGTGTCAACCTCTGCGTCTTCATCATCTTCATCCTCATTTAATCGGTTCATGGACTCTCCGGCGGTGGAGGAGGCTTTGCGTGAGGGCTGTGTGGCCTGTGTTCGCCACATCCTGTCCTCGATCCGCTCTCAGCTGGACGCCGTGCCCGCCCACCTCAGCTCGGTGCTGTTTATGGCCAGGTTGTGTCAGTCCATGGGTGAACTCTGCCCCAGCCTGAAGCATTGCATCCTGGGAAGACAGAGCAGGGTTGAAGCGATCGCAAAGGCGACGCCACGGCARGGCAAGAAGCTGGGCAAATCCAGGGTCGCTGCAGAGGTCAGCCCTGCACAGGCGCAGTGGACAGGTCTGAAGGAGGAGCTTCTCAGCTGCAGCATGGAGGCGTACCGCATCTGGAGCTCCGCCCTGACCAAAGTCAGAACCTGTCCCCAACACCCTTGTTTCAAACGGGAACTTCACTTTGTCGTGTCTGTTGCTTTTCTGCCCACCAAACGCTGTCTGTGTTTGTTGTGTGACAGGGGCTAATGGGAAAGTTCGGGGCAGCGCTGCACGCTGAGTCTGCTGGTGCAATTCTGACAACCGCAACAAACTGGGAGGATCTGGAGATCCAAGAAGAAGCCGAATCTGGGAGCAGCGTTAAGTCTAATATCCGTCTCCCGGTGCAGGTCAGCAGCTCTCTCAGATCGGGACTGAACCTGGATCCCATCCTCCATAAAATATTTATCTTGTATCTCTCCTGTAGCCGTCCTGGTTCGTGCAGTCTCTGCTCTTCCAGCTCTGCGTGGAGACRAACAGGGTGGGGGGCCATGCTCTGCCACGGCCCACCCTGCAGGAGCTGCTGCAGGCCTGTCTCACTCAAGCTCTGGACCACTACCACAGTTTCACACAACGGGACCAGACCAAGGTAACTAAGTTTGGGTCCACTGAGATTTTAAATCACTGAGTGACTGAAAGAGTGTGTAAGGCTAAAATTAATCCAATGGAATAATGGAGGATATGAGAGTAAGACAAGGCAGCACGAGATCGAGAGAGGAAGGAGTAACCGAAAGGCAACATCAGATCATTAAAGATTATTTCTCATATTTTTTATGTTTTCTGGTGTTTTGATCAGGAAGGGGTCTTCCCACTGACTCAGAACAGAGCCCTGCAGTTGTTGTTTGACCTTCGTTACCTCAGCACCACGCTAAGCAGCAGACTGGAGCAGGGCAAGAGCTCCCACTGCCATCAAGACTCCAGGTAAGAATCCAACTTTCACATGCTGCTGTTGCTGTGCAGAGCTGGATCACAGAGAAATACACAGACCTACAGGGACAGGGGAGAATTAGTCTCATAATAAAGGTGGGAATGCTGAGTCAGCATTCGCACAATAGTTTTCCTGTTTATATTTTTTTTTCATAGTTTTATTTTTTGCAACTAAACTTCTTATGAATCTGTTTTAGATTTGTATTTTATTCCTGTTAAGCCTGTATGTAAAGCATCTTTACGTTCCTTAAAAAGAGTCTATATCAGGGGCGCCCAAACATTTTCCCCAAGAGGGCCAAAATGAGAATCTTTCCGGGGCTGCGGGCCAAATGCAGTAATWTAATACATGAAATACAAATACTGTTTTAGTAAAGTCCTTTATTTTGTAACGATTAAGCTAGCAGCCAGTTTGGTGGCCTGCTTTTGTTTTAGTCTGGGTACTTGGAGAAAATCTGCCATATCCTCAAGTAGCAAAGGTTCATGGGAAATTTCATAAATTGATAAAATATGAGTTTTTCTGGCCTTATAAAGTGTGCAAATCTACATGTGGGGTTAAATCTAATCTAAATATCACTTTTTGATTGTATTTCACATTTCATATTTAATCTTAATATATCAAAGATAACGTCAGAACCATGAGTGAAAACTATCTGTACCACAGCCCCTTATAGTTATTGAGCCAATGGCTGAAAAGACAAAGTGGAAATACTTTTTCTACATAAGATGACAGGTTACAACCTAGTAACAATGTCAACTGCTGGTGGGCCAAATCAAATGGCTTGGCGGGCCAAATTTGGCCCGCGGGCCCCACTTTGGGCTCCTCTGGTCTATATAATTCAAATGATTTATGATTATTAAACAGGGCCGCTCGATTATTAAAAAATTAACTAAGAGTTTGGATAAATATTGTGATCAGGAATCAGGATTAATAATATGAATTTGTAAATTGCGTTATTTGCAATAACTCTCTCATGGCCTTGAGATATATTTTATCCACTGAATATGGATGGGCTCCATGGGCTATTATTAAAGGAGGGTTATTATGTGTTTTCCAGGCACGTAGTTAAATTCTACACCACAATCTATTTAACTGAGTTACTTTCAGTTGTTATGAAAATGCTGTATATGTAAAAAATACAGTTGACTTTGCATCATAGCCGATCTTAAACGCCTTGAAATTGTCCCGTCTTTAAGAAACTCCTCTCATTTCAGACACTCCCACTTCARCACRTTTTCAAACAGGTGCTTCAGTCGCAGACTGAGCTCCAGGGAGGAGCTTTGTGTAAATAGGCGGTGCTTTGTACCAGCAAAAGTCTAGGCTGCTCCACGTGGCTACAGGACATTCAAGGATTTCTCAAACATGCATGAATGATTCAAAGCAACACTCTGAGTATGTTGTTGATGAGGGAATGACGTTGTAACATATTATAAAGGTTAAAAAGGTTGATTTTGCATAATAGCACCAACCCACCCCTAGAGTTTGAAATAAAAAAAAAAATCACAAAAAATAATTTAGTAACTGTATTTATTTAAGAAACAAAAATATTTACTTTAAGTACTTTAAGTTTGACGATTTTGGCCCATAAGTCAAAGCTTCTGATTTCCTGTAACTGACTATTGGAGTTGATACATACTTCCAGGTGTGTGTGTTTGTGTGAATGTCTGTGTGTGAATGTATGTGTACATGTTTTTACTACCTGGTAGGGACAGTTTTGACCATTTTCCTGGTGCACACATCCTGATGAGGACCCACTGTTCCTTAGGTCTGGGGACCCCTTACAAAGGCAAAAAAAAAATTCCGGGGACCCCTCATAAACCCCATGCTATTTTAAAAGATAATTTATTGTTATTTCAACCCTTAAATGCCATGGAAATATATACTGTATATTTATTAGGTTTCTTATGTTTGTTTTTAGTGCTGGGTAGGGCTGCCACGATTAGTCGATTAGTCGACGACTAATCGATTATTAAAATAATCGATGACTAATTTAATAATCGATTAATCACTTTCTTTTTCTTTTTTTTTGTTCTTTACTTTGTTATTCTCTCCAAACTGCTTTGACAACTTCCACTGCCACATCTGCCTTTCTGTCCTTGACACACGTGCAGTAGTAGTTACTGGGGTAGGCCGTGGACGTCACAAGACATTATACAGACAGGCTCTGGTATCATGGCTACCCAGCAACGGAGCTCAAAAATGTGGGATCATTTTAAGAAAATGAAAGAGAAACCTGTGCAATATCTGCAGAGCAGAACTTGCCTTCCACAGCAATTATTTTTAGTTAGCATATAGCTAAAATCTAACCATGGTTATATAATAGCAGCTGCATTCTGGCACGATAAGCTGTATGTTTTATATTCAATTAACGTATGATCTGATTAGTCGACTAATCGAAAAAATAATCGGTGATTAATCGATTATGAAAATAATCGTTTGTGGCAGCCCTAGTGCTGGGCGGTATGCTGGTTTGTACCGAATATCATTTTTTATTTTGCTATGATATGAATTTTTTGAATACCGACATTAAATAGCCTGAACACGTCTGGAACATTTCATCGCGGCCGCCAGTGAACTGTTTCCCAGGGAACACTTTTCTTCGCATCACCGCTATGTGCATTAGCATGCTAATATTGTTGGAGCAGCTTGTTGCAGCGGTGGGTGGCAATTCCGCTGTTTATATTGGCTGACGTTAAAAAAAATCCCATTTTCGCCATCGCTGAATGTAGTAAATACATCTTCAGTGATGTGCACAGTTAGATTTAACACGCGACATTAATATGGAGACGTGGAGATGCATGGAGACTTTAGCATGGTTCTATTGTGAAAAGCCCGGGGGAAGTAGTTTTGTAGTGGAACTGAGTTGACCGGTGTCCAAGGTGAGTTGTGCTGTTAATATTTATTAAATAACATAAAACAATAGACCCGATAATAATCTTTTAACCCTCCTCCTTCACGACCGGACCAAAATGCGTGACTACTGTCTCCAACCAGAAGGAGAAAAGACACAGAGGAGGGAAACAGCGACACAGACAGAGGTACAAGAAAAGAAAAAAGTTAATAAGCAGTTTTTGTACATTTTATTATCAGCTGACCTGTGATGAAAAGAAAAATACAGTGATATACCGTGAAACCGCTGTAAATGTTGAAAAAACTGTGATATAAAATTTTGGTCATACTGCCCAGCTCTATTTGTTTTATTAGTTCATTGTACTCCATGCATTTTTAAAAATAAAAACCAAATAAACAATTTAGTGAAATGTTTTGAGGACCCCCAAGATACCTCTCACGGACCCCCGGGGGTCCTGGGACCCCAGTTTGAGAACCTCTGCCTTTATAGAGACAAAAGCCAGGTGCGGGTCAGGGGTTAGGACTGAGTTTAGGTTAGGTTTAGGATAAGGGGGTCAGGGTTAGGCTATAGAAATGAATGGAAGTCAATGGCTCATCTGTAGCTCACAGGAGGCAGATTATATCAGAATATTTTCAGTAACAATTGTTTGTTGTCGATTGTCCTGTTTTTGTGATCGTTTGGAACAAGAATAGAAATTGAAATGACAGAATATCATTAAGAATGTCATTAGACGAACTCACTTTTAGCTGATTCTGCAAGTCATTCAGGATTCATGCTGCAGTTTTTGCAAAAAAGGCAGTTCCAATGTGTTTTTTTAATTTGCACGTGTACATCAAATTAAATGTATTGTTGCATGTTTGGGTCATTTTACATGTTTGTTTTCCACGTACAAATGTCTGTCTGTGCATGTAGAAAATAACTTTATAAACTTCAACAAAAAAAGTAAAGAAATGTCACAATGTCTAGTTTATTTATAAAGCGCTTTTAAAAACAGCTAAAAGCTGCATCAAAGTGTTGCACAGCAATCCACAAATATCACACAACCACAATAATTGTTAAAACTGCAAAATAAATTACAACCAACAATAGTAAGAACAGATAAATTACAATATTTACTCAACCTCCTTTACTTTCAACCACGTTGGGAGCGATGTTTTATATTTAATTGTTAAAATTTGGGTCACGTCTCTTCTAGGTTCCAGGAGATCTGTGATTGGTTGGAAAGATTCATCGACCCCTTTGATCTAGACGTGTTCACGCCCCCACTGAACGCTAACCTCAGCCGCCTGTCACAGAGGACCTCGGTACGTTACAGCTGCACACGTGAACAAAAGAAACATTTCTGCTGACTGCAGCTCACAGAAACGTGATGTGTGAAGACGTTGCTGATGTACAGCTGACTCAGCACGTGAGCCTGTGCTCTCTGACCATGTGTTTTAGGTGCTGCTGGGCCTGCTCACCGAGCCAGAGAAGCAGTTTACTTCACGGAGCAGCAACGTGAACTCCCAGGAACCTTACAACATCCTCCCATTGGCCAGCAGCCAGATCAGGTCAGAGGTCACCATCAAAGGCCTTTTGGAGAACTGGATTTTAATTCTGACAGGACTAATGAACTAGCTGCTGTCTGAAAACAGCTTCAGCCCATTTTAAACTTTAATGAATTAATCTGTGCACTGCCATCAGTTTCATATAACAGTTATTTACCTACAATTCTCTCAATGATTGCAAGCACAAACAGCAGCAGCAGCTGGTTGTAGCACTTCTACTACAGCCTGGGAGCACTTCCTGCAAGAATTTCATAATATTTAGGCTAAAATAACAATCTAAAATAAAAGTGACAACATTTTCAAGTTGAATACCAGCATTTACAGAAACTGCTATGATTTTTTTTTTATTTAAGATTAGTGTTGTTTTAAAACTGCATGAGTTCACTTTGGTAGTTATCAAGTTGTTTTAGGTTGTAAATATGGTCGGAGCCAGTGTGATGCATCTCTGTTCTGTGGTTAAAGGGATCCACGATTAGTTGTAACATTAGACTTTATTTAATAAACACATATTTTAACTGTAAAATAAAGACTGTAAAAATACTGTAGGATGTTTAGTTTTGTAAATTTTTTAAAATATATTTTAACACAGACAGAGCCATTTTATTT